GGAGAGAGCACCCCCCTGAAATGATGGCAAATAGCACAGGAAGCAATAGCTTCTTTGCTATCTGCAGACTTGATAGAAAAATTCAGGTCCCCCTCTGCTGATTGCTATTGCAAAGTGAAATAGCCAATAGGAATCTAGCTATGCATTCTTACTTATGCCTTTTTTTTTTTTATTCTGACAACTGCAACTGGCAGAATACAAAAAAAAAAAATTGTATGCCTTTTTTTTTCTTTTCTGACTGACGGTCAGGCCGCGGCTCCCGATGTCAGAAAAGAAAGGGGAAAAAAACGATTGCGGGGAAAGGTTTAATCTGCTCGATAGAGTAGATTAAACGTTTCCGGTAAAAAGTGTTTCTCTCCCGGCCGGGATGTGTACTCACCGGCCCAAGCAGCTCCATTGGGTAACGAAGGGAAGGGGGAGGAGTCCAGTGACGTTCATGTCCGTGACGTCACCGGATCTCCGACGGAAGACCCGGAAGCCGGCGGAGAGGTGAGTACGGATCAAAAGAACTTTGATCGATCAAAAAAATAACGATTAATCGAGGGATTAATCGTTAATTTCCGCAGCCCTAATATATATAATATAAAATCACCCTCCCTTCTATTTTCTATTCTGTACCATATGCTTTACATTTTCTAATAAAAAGAAAAAAACGCAAAAACATTCAACACAAGACCATTAAATTAACAAAACTAAATACACCACCAAAAACTACCCTCTGAATAAAAAAAGTAGATTTTTTTTTTTTTTATAGCAAATTTCAATTTTGTCAATCACTCTACTCATCCCTACTGAAGACCTTCCAATTTCGATTAAACAGGGATAGAAGCAAACATGGAGGGATTTAGAGAATCAAAGTCTACTGTTCTTTGTTTTTTTTAATGTTTGAACTGTATAAGGCTGACGCCTTATGAACTGTATAAAGCTGACGCCTTATGAAGGAAAACCACTGCATATTAGACATGTGCACTGCCAAAAAATTCGTTTCGTTTCGTTTTAAATTCGGATTTGTGTTATTTCGTTTTTCGGGATTCGGGTGTGAAAGTCAATTCGGATTCGGAATTCGGATTCGGACGAAATTCGGTAGCGTTAGTACGAACGTTCTTATTCGTTTTCTGTTCTTATTCGTTTCTTATTCGTTTCTTATTCGTTTGCAGCAAAAGTGACATTTGAGGGGAAAAAATATTTTTCTCCTTCTCTAATGTCACTTTGCTCCAACGAACGAAACGAATAAGAAACGAATAAGAACAGAAAACGAAACGAACGTTCGTGCGAACGCTACCGAATTTCGGAAATGGAAATTCGGATTCGTTTGCATTCGTTATGTCTGTAATTCGGAATTCGGATACATCCGAATGTCCGAATTTACGAAAATTCGTCCGAATTTCGATTCGGAACGAAACGAATCGCACATGTCTACTGCATATAACATTTCCTTATTTATAAAGTACAGGCAGTCCCTGAGTTACAAACATCTGACTTACATACGACTCTTATTTACAAACTGAGGCTATTGCTGTACAGCAGGGGTAGTTGTAATGCTACCGCGCTCGTGCAGACGAGGAGTGCCCGCCTTTTTGGGTCTGGTTTGTAGTACTGCACGTACATTACAGTAAGTTGGCTCTTGTTAGACGTGCAGACGGGGTGCCCGCCTCTTCTTCCGGGTTAGTGTGAGGTGTTTACTGCTGTCTTTATCCTCATTAGAAAGATTTAATCTCACTTCCTGTCCTTGAGACAACAGGAAGTGAGAGGAAATATACCCCTAGTAAGGGAAATCCACTCCTGTAAGAGTTATCATGGGAAAAAGGTGTCTCCACTGAAGCTTTATCACCAATTCTTGTTTCCACCACAACCCAAAGTTTTCAAAATCCAATTGTCACAGGGAAAGAGAGTGAGGTGAAATCTTCTGAACAGGGGCACACACAGCAAAACAAACATTACAGGGGGTTAACCCTTCCCCATGCTATCCCCCCCAAAAATGTAAATTTTTGGCTGGAGTTACACTTTTAAAAAATGTGCCTGTTCCAACCTACATAGAAGTTCAACTTAAGAACAAACCTACAGTCCCTATCTTGTTCCTAACTCGGGGACTGCCTGTACAAAGGGAAACCTGTTCAACTTCTTGCACTGGAATGTGTAAGTTGTTCTTTAAATAAGTTTGTAGACAATTTAAATATTTAGCATTTTCATGTAAGCATCATTGTAAAGTTTAACTTTAGGTTGTAAAGCTTTTTTATCTTAATGTTTTGTAAACAGGTCATCACTGGAGCTTATATGGCATTGTCAGATGTTATAAACTTTATATTAACTTTGTTTCCAGTATGCAAGTCCAGCTACAGAGTGAGAACAAGTATGTAATACATTTTATCTAAAGTCCAATAATAATAATAATAATAATAATAATAATAATAATAAAAGTCTGTCACTGTCATTGACTCCACTTAGATGTGATATACCATGAGATTGCAAGTGGCTCCATTTAATGATAAACTATAACACTAATAGACAACATTTAAATTTGGATGATAATGGCTTTTTGGTTAACCAAATCAGACAATACATTTCTAAAAATATACATTCATCATTTAGTGATAAGACCCAAGCTACCACTCAATATATAACATTACCAAACAAATGTTCCCCATGTATGTGTCACAATATAATAAACACTGAGGGAGGGTGGGAATCTCGCTGAGTGTAGCCAGTCCTGACAGAGTGCTCCCGTGCACATTGCCTTTTTTATACTCCTCTAGAAAGGCAGGAGGCAGACCATTAGGCCTGATTCACACCTAGGAGTTTTCGAGCAGTTGAAAAGAGCTTTTAAACGTCCAACACATTAAATCCCATGATTTTCAATGGCCCTGGTTCACACCTAAGCAGAAAAATGCCAGCAGGAAAAAGCCACACACCCAAAAAGGTACATGAGCTTCTTTGAGCAGTTAAAAGCACGTCTATGCCCCATAGACTTCAATGGAAATGGCCAAAAACGTGCAGCGTTTAAAGACGCATTCTTCCATTGCCCACAATGGTTCAGGAGCTGCCAGTCAAAACATGCGTCTACATGTACACGCTTCAAAACACAAAAATTGTGTACAATGTGCATAATCGTGCAAATAACTGCATGCTGCTCACGCACGTACGGACACGCAAACACCAGCCCTTAGAGAAGCATGAGGAAGCTGCTACAACAGTTATGACACTAGGCCAATCATGCAGGAAACTGATACCTGTTAAATAAAGGGAAAACAAAAGGGGATGGGGTCCAACAGCTAACGGACATTCAAATGAGGTCACTGCAATCCCATGGAGGGCAGCCACATGAATACTGTTTCCCTCCCCTTGCATTCCATTATAATACTGGGGATGATCTATTACAACTGTAGAAGAGAAAATTAGCAAAAGTCAAGTTGTGAATAGGCTCTAAATAAATCATCCCTATTGTTAACATCTATGCAGTTACATAGTTGTATGTTAATAAAGTTATATATTTTGAACATTAAGGTGTATATTTTAAACATCAAAAAATCATTTTCCTTTCCCTAACCTTCAAATGGTGTCCAGTTTATATTTTATGTTTTAATAAAGTGGCCTTTACCCCCTTTGACTAAAAACCACCTCAGCATGCAGCTCTGCAAGCTGATATGAAATCATCTTACATTCATTAGTTAAACAAACATATTTTTATTTTAATTACAATTATTGTTTTTCCCACTTCCTGGTCCTCTTAGGCATAAGTGATGTAATGTGCCCAAGCGTTGCACCCTGGGAAGGTTACATCAGCAGAGCATTGCCGGGAAATCTCATCTGTAATCTCATTAGATCTCAGGGAATGGCAATTTCTTCCCTGTAGATTATGTGCACGGCCACATGTCCTAGTCACATGTGCCAGAGTTCCAGGAAGTAAAGGGAGATTTATGAAGTAAAGGGAGATTATGTGCACGGCCACATGTCCTAGTCACATGTGCCAGAGTTCCAGGAAGTAAAGGGAGATTGCCCTTAGTAAAAATGGCCACTGTGAGAAAAATGGGCAGGAAAATAAAAATAAAGTATGCAAAGAATGAAAAAGCCGGTAATTATCTAGAAGTATCTCTTTGTATATTGCCATTACTAAACATTTCTAAAGGTGTATTTATGGAATTTCAAAGATATGGGTAAAGTTCCTCTTAAAGAAACGAGACAAAGAGAAGAATTTTATAGAAACAAATATTTTTCTTATAGGTCATCAGCCTTCCAGAAGAAAAAGGCAACGCAAACCGGTCCTATCTGCCCTATCATTCTGTATGCTGATAAGTCTGGGGTACTACTCTCTACATGTAAATGCCCCCCTGCTTCCTGAAAAGTCTCATGGTCCTCAAAGAAAGCTGCTCGGGACCATTCTGCAGGTAACGATGATCCGTTCTGTTCAGGGAAAAGTCATGTAATGTGTAACAACTAACACAAAAAGAAGTAGTGGCTGAGAACCACCAAAGCTGGGTAGACGCAGTTAGAATGTCATTAGGAAAGATTTGTCTTTGGAATGTGCGTTTGATTTTTAATAACTAATGAGGTCAAATCGACAATTGGTTTTGACTGTAGTGATGGAAAAAAAAAATCGAAGGAGCAGGATAGAATTTATTTTCTCGAGTGAATTAAATTCAAACAGTGAGTGTAGTTTTCATTCGGGAAGCTCCATTCAGTTAAAATCAAATGAAATTATGAACAATATTCGTCAAGTCTCTGATGGCATTACCAAATGTCCTGATGGGACTTTTTGTATGCAAGTTTGTACGCAAATCTACCATTGTGTGGCCATATAAACAGTAGCCAGGGAGACCTGGGACCGTAATAAAGAGTTATGAGAGAAGCCTAACAGGAAAATGTGGGAGAATGTACAAATATCCATGTGAATAGAGAAGGCATAGGACCCTTTTACCTTTCTGATATCCTAGTAAGGATACAAATTCTAATTACTGTGTCCCTCAACAGACTCCAAGAAAAGGATTTTACAGTGACTTCAAAAATACTTTATTTGTTAGGCTGTATGATGAAGACATGTCTGGTTTGTGTGTGTTGTGACTAATGCGTTTGGCTATGGAGCATCTGTTTGGACCATGTTTTTAGCGCTGGAGGATCGGAGGGGGGAGGGGGGAATCCAGTCACTCCCCTGTCACGGCTCTCTGCAGTGACAGGATCGAGAAGTGAGCAAGCACCGGTATGTGTTCGCTCACTTCCCGATCTACTGAGCCGACCTGTGACAGTCTCATTGTCACAGGTCGGCTAGAACTATAAGGATGAGCGGAAATCACTCACCTCATAGTTCTCCTTTAAGCTAATCTTCTAGCAGTAAAGCTTGTTATGTATACATCTTATTCTCTGAAAAAATGCTTGCAGGAATCTTTTAATCAAGAACTAGAAATCCAAAACAGGCAGTTCTTCATCTCTGAGACATACTTTTTACCTATTAGTTACAGCAGCTGTCAGCAGTATTTAATGAAGAGCACATTCATTCCTTCTCCATCCAGAACACTGCTCTCTTGTTATTTATTTTTAGCGGTATCAATGCATTAACCTGCACGTGGAATATTTTTCCCAAGATCAGTAATAGAAGGCTGTAAACTTGATGTCAGTGTAGCAACACAATGATGTACCGAGACCAAAGCTGAAGGGCACCCCAAGATTTTTAGAAGATTATTTTGGATTTGTTGTAACTGCCCTTTTTAACCCTTTTGTAAGCAAAGTTAATTGATGCCTAGAAGTCCAGGTTACATTTAGCAGAGTCAGCATTTGTTGGTTAATTTGAATTGTTTGTTTCGTGCACTGTTTTAGAGAAAAAAAAGTAGATTGGGCCCCTGCTTTAGTCCTTGGACAAGCAGTTTTTTTTTTAAATGTCAACACCCCTGATTACTGTATATGCAGTCTGACTGAATTACAATAATAAACCAATAGAGATCAATTGGTCTTTACTGCTGCAGACCAGAACAATAGCACTATTAATAACTGTAGGCCATGTGATTATGGGTCAAATTGTGGCAATGCCAGCACTGTTACTGTATCACATGCTCACACTGCCATTTCTGGATCCAGCAAGCTGATTCTTCCAAATAGACACATGTATCCTGCTAGAAAAGTTATACATTTTAAGAGAAAAAAGCTTGAACATTTTAGACTAAAGCGAAGCATATTGAATGTGGGGTTTCCCTATGCCAGAGGCAGCTTTCATACCTGTCTGATTCACTCCTAAGGTTAAGCTCATTAGCAGAATGCATACGTTGTAGAACAATTTGCACTTAGCTTACGCTTGCATTTTACTGTGACTTTTCAGAGAAACAGAACCTGTACTACTACTATAAAGTTCTACTCCCTGGGGAAATAACATGTAAAACACAGAAAAGAAAAAAAAACAATTTAAAGCAACACTAAACTCAAGAGTTAAATCTTAAAAACAATCAGGTACCTTAACTATTAGCAAAAAATATAGCTTATTTGTGCATCACTCGGCTGTAGATCCTCAAATCATCTCTGAATTGGTGCTGACACTGTCCTTCCTTCTGGAGGGTGGCTACTTTTGTTCCCCATGGTCCCTGTGTGTGTTGTAACGTAGCCACTGCTCCAAGCTCGCTCCCGTGATGGACTACAATTATGGATTTCCCATTACTTGCTGTACCAGTGACAAAGGTCACCACAAAAACCACTAGGACGAATCTCCCTAGTAGGGTCACAGATGGCAATAACAAGCGGATCAAACCCTTCCCCGCCCTATCCAAAACAAAATGTTTTGGCTGAAGTTCTACTGTAATAAACATATTCAAAAAATTCAGCTTGTAACTTTTGGTTACTAGCAGTCAGTTGATAAATGGTATCTCTACTTTAAAACAGTCTTCTATCACCGTAAAGGTATTTTAGGCTTGTTTTGGAGTGATCCAATCTTGTGACTGAAGCTCTGTGGTCACATGGGTTTCTAGTGCTGAAGTTTGACTTAGGACAGGTCTTGATTCCAAAAAGTGAAGAAAACTACAAATCATTAGCCTGATCTATTGAGTGGAAGAATGTTATTATAGTATAAATGCTTTCTCTCTTTCACAGCAATACAGTCGTGCGAGTATTTGTCTTCAAAGAGCAGTGTGATCTTCAATATTGCCATGTCTCGAAAGTGATCAAACATTTATCTGAAAATGAGCACATATGATATCTTTATCTATTGACTAAACTTATGGATATTTCTGAATATTTGTGTATAGTTCTACAGCTATCCCTGTTCTCTAATTGTACAATAATAAATAATGCCACAAAGCTGTCTTCTTCTGACTTCAGGAACGTGTAGATGTAGTGGGATTTACTCTGGGGATCATTGCTGTCCTGGTGTCCTGGACTGTCAGAGTACCGGTCATCACTAAAGTGGTAAGTGGGCAACTGAATACTGTCTCTGTATGCATATTCACAGTTGTTTGCTTTAACAAAGGAAGATTCTTCCATTCATTAATGTTTTCCCTATAGTCTTATTTCTTGACTAAGCTACACTTTTGTTGTTCTTGAAAAAATTATCAGCCTTTAGGTCTCGTTCACACCTAGGCGTATTGCATATGCGCGTCTGTCGCAGTAAAAAAGTCGTGCGACAAACACACGTTTCCGAAGGCTACTTGGCTGTATCCCAATGGAAACGCGCAACAAAACGGCCCAAAGTAGTACATGTACCTTTTCAGGCGTGGGCCGTTTTGTAGCACGTTAGGGACGGGCGGAAATACGCCAAGGTGGGAACGAGACCATTGAATACAATGGGATTTATATTTTTGAGCGTTTTGTAGAGCGTTCGTCGAGCGTAGAACGCGCTACAAAACGTTCAGGTGTGAACGAGGGCTTAAAGTGACATTAAACTCAGGAGTTAAATCTTAACAATGCATTCAGGTACCTTAACCATTACCAAAAATGTAGCTTATTTGTGTATCACTCGGCTGTAGATCCTCAAATCATCTCTGAATTCATGCTGACAGTGTCCTTCCTTCTGGAGCAGAGCCGTCTTCAACGTGGGGCAAAAGGGGCAGTCACCGCAGGCCTAGTCATTGTTGTGGAGCCCAAAGCAGCTGCCCTTGTGCCAGCAAAAGATACACATGAAGCACCGTTCTGTTTACTATGCAGTTGAAGAAATAGGTCACCAGCACTCAAAAAGTTTAAAAATGAATAAGTCCTTTTTATTGGACCATGGTGTCACGACAATCGAAAAAAGGCGACGTTTCGGGGCCACGCAGGGTCCCTTTCTCAAGGCAGAAAATGTGACTTTAGTTACTACAAGCACCATCCCTGTGTACTGGCCGGGACTGCTGAAAGGTGTGCGGAGAGCACCCTCACCCTACTGTTTACTATACAATCGCTATCGCATAGTGTTGCTCCCCCCTGCAGTACCTCGCGTAGTATGACCGCAGGGTCATGTTTCCCACTGACATCTATCTGTTCTGTAGGATGTGGTGGGTAGGGGCTGGGGGGCCCAAAAAAATGTTTGCCCAGGTTCCAATTAATATTAAAGACCTACCACCGGGTGAGTTTATTCTCTACATTGCTCTGGGTAAGGCCAAAGCTATACTGGTGATTAAATCTATAGACTGCTGAGAAATGTAATCCCCATTCTCACTTTAGCAGCACATTTCCATGTGTTGTTAATAAGGATACTGCCAATGAGTACTTAAGTCTCTCAGTACAATTGAAGCCAATTTTTTTCTAGTTTTGTATAGAGTGGAAAGGGATTAGAACACCTGTCAGGTTTGTATGGCTGTCTATGTCACCATCATGGAGATTCACCCTCTCTATCTGTCCTGGTGACCGTTATCACTGAAAGTGAATGTCAAAGAAAATCCCACATTTTGGGCTGTCATCAGAACAGAAATAGATGGAAAATCTTTTAATGGGGACTTTATTTCTGATGGCCTTGCTGCCCACCATATTCCCTCACACTTCCTGTTGTGGCTACCAATTCACAGATGGCAAAAAAGGGTGACCGGTGTTATAACCCTCCCTTAGTCTATCAAAAACAAAAAAAAAAGTTTGTCTTCAGTTCTGCTTTAATCACAGGTATAGATTTGGCCTTACCCACAGGAGTTGGTTGGTTTCTCTGTGTAAAAGTGCTGGACTATCCATTGTCTTTAGCACCTTGGAGCGGGGCCATCTCTATAGTGAGGCAGCCTCAGGCGGGGTGGCAGGTGTGTGGGGGACCAGCAGGGAGGGCTCTTAGCAACTTGGTAAACTCTGTCAGAGCTGCTGGACCCAGATGTAACAATGCCCTTCTCCCCCACCCTGGAATGGCCACTCACTGACAGCACCCCGCTACGCTCAGGTGTGAACGGGGCCTCCAGGATCTGATTAGATGCTGTAAACATGGCTAAACGCATCTAAACACATATAACATGGCTAAATGCACCTAAACACATGTAAACATGGCTAAATGCACCTAAACACATGTAAACATGGCTAAATGCACCTGAACACGCATAAACACAGATTTAAGCAAGAGCATCTAAGAGCTGGAGTGCTAATGTTAATGAGACTTCACTGTCTTCTCTTCCTTTGGCGTTATAACTCTAAGACTGTATGTGGACTGTGCCATTTGTCCGGGTATCATTGCATTCATCAGGAAGTGAATAACAATAACAAGATGATCTCACAGATCACATATCAAGCTGATCTCTGCCAATATACTCATAATAATATAATCATCTTTGGGATTCTCCCAGCCTCAGACACCCTTGACTTGCTTGTCAGGTCACTCTTGTATGTACATACCGTAAACATTATATACACAATTCTGTTCCCTTCACAGGAAGGACCTGAGTGGTTCTTTAGCCCTTTGCTGGTTTGCTTTGCTGTTATCATTATTTTATTATCCGCAGTGTAAAGGAATGGTATTCCCAGTAATTCAGGTCTGGGCTGTCCTCTTCTCTGCTTTGGCAAGCATTATGTATGCGGCTGCCATCATGTCACATGACCGACGTCCGGAGTACTTTGTCAGAGCGATTCCTTGGTTCCTTATCTCAATGGGCACCGCTGCCCTGGATGTTGCTGTATCCTTTATCAAATACTTAGCTTCATTTTTGGCTTTAAATAAACTCAGGCCATGAACAGTATTAAGCATCAAAATTATGTCTTTGGCGTACTGTAATTGATTTATTATTTCATTAGTCTATTAAACAGAATTTTTCTTTGGTAGCCAGAGTATTGTTCCCATCACTATCACTATCCTTCATAAAGTCTAAGCCTAGCTGTTTAGGCTGCAAATGTGTTGGCTAATGTAAGCTAGTGGTATTAAACATGTAATCATGATATACAGCAGCATCATTTTGAACTTACATTTTGTGATGTCTGCCTTCTGTTTGCTGTCTCTCCCTTCATTTAATTTCCTTTAAAAATATTTTTGCTTCTGTTTTAAGGGCGGCTCCACTGCTTTGCAGGATCCCGCCGGGGACCGGAGCACCTCCAGGTAGCACTGTGGTGCTGGAACCAGATTCTGCAGTTCCGGTGCTCACCTCCAGGTGTCTCCAGCCAGTAGCTGTCAGGTACCAGACCACCTCCGGGTGGCACTGTGGTGCTGGAACCTGCAGTTCCGATGCTCACCCGGGAGTGTCTCCCAGCAATTAGTCACCACCTGGTGCTGGTCTGGGGAAGTATTTAGCCTCTCCTTGCAGTGGGGCCTGTGCTTCAGTATTGTTGCCATAGCCTGTATCCTGTTCTTGCCTTATACCCAGACTTGGACCTGACTCCTGACCCTTACCCTGAGGTCTCTTGATCAGTGGCTCCCCCCTTGTTGTCCTCCCCAGGGTTTGACCTGTTGTCTCAGGGGTATAATTGTTACTTGTATTTTTATATGTTACTTGCTGGTGTTGGTGGGGGTGCTTATGGTGGTGGTGTTTTTTGGAGTAGCTAATAAACTACAGTTCATAAGCATTATTAGGTGTGGCCACATATTTGGTTCTCCTGTATAGATACCTGCATGGGGTGTGGGGACACCCGTGCACGGTATCTTAACAGATCCCCTGGAGCCACCGTTGTGAGTGCACTCCCACCCGGATCTACAGCCTGCTGTGCCGATGCTCCATGCCCTTACATACAGGCTGCTCAGAGGCCAAGAGATGCAAGCCACTCCCCAGCTCCTCCTCATACAAAGTGATTGGCTGGAGCTTCGGAGGCAGCTGTATTATGTTGTATTGTATACAGCAGCATTCTAGATAGTAAAAACGGCATATCACAATTGTAACGGAATATTTTATTGTGTTTTATGGAATGCAGTAAATTGGTCATGTGACGATCTTGGTGCTCTCATTTGACCTAACTACATGCGGATCTCTTGATTCAGGTGACCCTTTCCCCCCTTTTTAGCAGGGAGGCCCCCCATTTTTGTGCTGAGCAGCTGAGTCAAAGATAACAGGGTTTAATAGTGATTTTGCTGATTTGGTCGAAAATATATCCATCATCAAAGTGATAGTTAAAAAAGAAAATCTTTTTTTTCCCTTTCCGAATGGAATATATAGAGTAAGAAAAAAAAATATTATTGATAATATATCACTATTAGATAATATATTGCTGTTTGCATTTTGCATTGTTATTGCAAAATACATTCACACTATGCACTGGTTCTACAAGCACACGGATAATAATTCTTCTGGCAGTATGGCGGTGATCTGTAGCATAAAAACTTGAGATGAAGTGACTCTGCTCTTCAACACATTACACAGAAAGCAAGGATTTTTCGAGATACTTATTCAACTTCTGAGAGTTATGAATAGACTTTGTAAAGGTGCACATACACCTTACGACCATCGCAAGACTTTTGTCTTGCGATGGTCGTATGCTTCTTGAAAGCCCGTACGATCTGCCCACCTTGGACGGGCAGATCGTACTTGCGATCATCGAAAGCCCGCCCCGCTGAGGGGCGGGCTTCCGATGGCGGCAATGCAGAACGGGCAGTGTGCGCGTGCGCACACAGGCCCGTTCCGCAGCTATCGGGCGAGCAGGCTAGAAACCCGCCGACAATCGTACGATTCTCGGCGGGTTTTCGAACATGTTGGCTCGACAAAAGACGTACAGTAGAAACGGTCGCACGTCTTAGTTCACACTGCTCGATTCTCGTACGATCGCGGGATTTCGCACAATTCTCGTACGAGAATCGAGCAGTGTATGGGCACCTTTTAGAGTGGAACTATTCATCTTTCTCTTTGATCTTTTCGAGACTCTTTCAGGTATTAGTCCTTTACATTCCTTAACAGTCTGATACCTGCAGCTGGTATTCCTTTCCTGTATGATGAAAAATAAGCTGTTTCAGCAGAGGGGTCTTGTAATAGATGCCACATTGGATGTGGAGAACTGTCAGCTGCTGGCACACATGGAAAAATCTGAACAGGGAATGGATGACCTTCATATAGACAAAGAGGTTTGTTGTTTGTGCGAAAGTACCTATGTGAGTAAAAGTTATTAGGATATGGAACATGGCAATTGAAGCTGGGGCTGGGGATTGCTCCGACAGGAACCTACAGATTCTTGTGGCAGGAATCCCTGGTGTGTCTGTACAGACGCGGACTGCTGTGCCCATTCAAGTGAATGACAGGGTGACAGCGGCTGCATCTGTCATGGCTATCTGCATGAATTCATATGTAGCACCCCCCTGACCCCCAGAGGCCTGTGGAGGAACAGCAAAAGCAGAGACGGCTGACATTTCACTCAGGGGTGAATCCTTAGCTGGGTTGTAAGATGAGAACAGTAAATTGGGAGTCACTTTAATTGCCTTTTAAATGCTTTATTATAGAACAGCCAAAACTGGGAGAGAGGGTATAGGGGCTTCAGACATTCATGGCAAAAATAGACTTCCGAATAATTTAATCCCTTCCAGCTTGCACAGTGCCGGGAATACTTAAACTGGGCAGAGGATGACTCTGTGTAGTAGAGCAACAGTTGAATAGGGGATATGCATGAGACCTTCCCTGGAAGAGACACCACACTTGTTCCATGCCATCCTGGCACCTCCAGCAGTCATGAGGCTCTTCTGGTTCTCCTTCCCAGATAGTTCCAGACCCCACCTGGGTCCACATGTGGCCTCCTGTAGGCTTGAGGCCTAGTCAGTTTCTCCAACCTTGTACATCCCACCACCAGGCCAAGTTTGGGGGCGGACTGACCTGAGTACATGGCAATTCCTGAGTATGTATGCACTTCCCCAGATTGCACCACTGGCCATGTAACTTCTAGTGATTACCTGGTGAGGCATAGACACTCCTTATAGTCCCCTATTGGCTGCCCCACTATGTGGCAGGGTCACACCCCACTAGAGGTAGGTGCAGACAATAGCAGAAAACGAAGAAATGACCAAGTGATACCAGACAACAAATCAGCCAGACTTATTACAGTTCCAGCAGCACTAAATTTAAGTAGCCACCTCACTTAGGTGGAGGGGCTACACATATATGGAATGATTACCTGTTGATCGGGAGAGATGATTGTCCCTGGACGCAGAGACAAGCATCTATCCTGATCTGAGGTAATTATGACCGTGTATGATTACATGCACATAGCCACGGCACACATCTGAATGGAGACACATGGGATTCCTGCTGCAAGAACCCACAGGTTCTTACCACAGGAATAGCCAGCTGCCCCTGTGCATGTAGCCTAAAATGTAAGGTGTATATGATTACAATTTTGATGTATTCTGTAAAATATATTTATATTCCTTATGAAGTCACAAAAATATCTATAGAGGCAGAATGACATATGTGTTATGTAAATATAAAGGAAATGCAATAGTGTAGTGTACAGTCGGCTCTACAAGTTTAAACAGACTACCGGCGGCAAAAGTCACCGGGAGTCTGTTTAAACAGCCCAGATGCTGGTGACGTACACTGTACGTCGTCAGTCACGAAGGGATTAAAGTTTATCTAAAGCCAACACCTTTTTTCCATTTTGGATAGAGCAGGGGGTAGTTAAAACCTCTGTCAGTTTTTCTGCCAAATTCCCCTTAACTTTCTGTCCTCTAGCCACAAGAGGAAGGGAGAGTAAATGCCCACATAGAGAGTGATCACTGCAACAAGTGCTCCCATTGGAAGATTTCACCTTTCTTCCAGTTCTGGTGGCAACTCAAAATTTTGGATTTTCCCTCACTATCTTTTCCAGCGATTTAATAGTCACCAGGACAAATAGAGAGGCAAAGCTGACAAGAGGTTGCTTACTTGCATACTCTATCCAAACCTAAAAGTTTGGGGTTTACATACACTTTAAACGTGTAACAAATGACACATATTGAATGCCTCCCATATATTTTATTTATTTATTGCAGGTATTTATGCAGCACTTTACATAGTTGCACATTCACATCAGTCCCTACCCTCAAGGAGCTTACAATCTAAGGTCCCCATCTCACATACATACATAGAGGGCCAACTTAGAGAGGAGCCAATTTACCTACCAGCATGTCTTTGGAGTATGTATATGTAGATATACATACTCCATATATAGATATTTAATGTTTCCAGTATGGGCCAATATTTGGTAGCTAAGAAGCATGGCAGAGATGTATTAATCTAACTGAGTTTTAACTTGTGACTTTCTACATCTTATATTTAAATGTTTTCCTGTTTCTTATGCCTGGCATTATTCTGTGCTTGATCAACATCAAGGACACATAGAAAACAATTGTTTTCTATGTGACCTGTTCACACTGCAATGCTCCCTTGGGTTGCAGTGCGTTTTGGAAAAATAAAGACATGCTGCATTTTTCCAGCAGGGCATCAGAGCTCACCTGAAGTCACCATCCATTTGCACATCACAGCTCCGTCACTTTAAAATTTGAATAAAGTTAAAAAAAGAATTAATGGTTAAACTATGCCTTCTCCCTCTACCGTCAGTACACAAAGGATACTAGCTGCTTGCTAATATTGAGTGTTTTAGCGTGTGGTTAGTGGGAACAGGAAAGTGTGAGTGTAAATATTTGTTTGCTATTTGACCTTCCAAAGAATTTGTAATCATGTACAGCTAGTCTTGTATAACTGTGTCATAATACACAGGCAGGATGATCACTGTGTTGCTCCCTTGTTCGGCTTTTTGTGTCCTGGATCACCTATACTAATTTGCCAGCAACGGCACGGCAGATTCATTGTCCAGTGAGCTGGCTGTAGAGAGGTGACCTAGAAAGCTGTATCGCTGAACCACAAAATAAGTGTCACCAATCTGGCTCTGCAATGTGGCTGGTGTACAGAATTACAAATCTTTTTGCAGGTTAAACAGTAAACATATAAAGTGTGTATTTCAACTGTGTATTTAGCTCTCTGTCTGGACTTATGCTTTACCTCTGGTACATAGTATATAAGCTATCTGTTGGCAAAGCCCAACACGGCTAATAAACCCCCCAATTTTTATTAAAGGAATGTTGACTTCAGGAGCCTTTAAGCATCCCAATCCTACTTTTGTTTTGTACCTAATAAAACCGAACCTATGTATTTTTATAATTTTCAGCATTTGCATTGTGATTATCCTTCTTTTTTGCAGAATTCGCATTGGACTCCATTAAATATGCTTCCTAACAGAAGTATTAAAACAAGTGCATCTCTGGGACGTTATGTGAGGCTCAGCATTGAGCAGGTGCAAGAGGTATGTTGTAAATGAGTATGTCTTGGCAAGACCTATGCAGGTATTCTTCTAAAACAAAATGTAAGGATTAGTGCTTTACCCTTAAATCTGAAAGAGAGATCTCCGTCAGAACATTAATGTAAACTAAACTTGTAGATGTATCAGTAACTTTATTTCCAGGAGTCTTTCCGGAACAGCACATGAGATAGGAACCACCTCCCACAACATCAGGAAATACATCACCAAACCTTACAAGGAAGTCTTTCTGAAAAACTGGTTAGTATAGGATGAGAACCGAAGGATGTATTCTGAAGTAAAACAAATACTACAGAAAAAAAGTACATAACTCAGAGTCGGGAACCCTGCTGTTCTCAAAAGACTACTGGAAATAGTTTCTGGTAGGTCTAAAGCTGGCCATACACCTATAGATTATCTGCAAATTTTCTGGAAAAAGTGCAACAGATTCCACCATCTACGCTAAACTCTGTGGATGAAGGAATCTGCCACTGGGCCAAGCTTCAGTATCTTGCTGGTTGGTCCTGATGGCTCTCAAAACACCTGAACAATGCCTGCATCCAATCAGATTGTTCAGGAATTTTAACATCCAGCGGGTCCGACTAGCAAGATACTGAAGTTTGGCCCAGTGGGAGATTCCTTCATCCACACAGTTTAGCGTAGATGGAGGAATCTGTTGCACTTTTTTCCATCTGACCATAGAAAATCTGCAGATAATCTACAGGCGTATGGCCAGCTTAACTCTTATTTTCCCCAGGTGTCTCTCCAGGATGAGAGAATTAGCTAGAACCTGCCAGACTTAAGAAAGAGACAATAATCCTGGAGAATTCTCTTCCCTGAGCATGAGAATTACAGATATGGTGAACCCAGGCATACAAACCTCTCAACTGACAGATATGAACCAAAGCCACGAGACTACAATCCAGGGAGAGTCTGTGCCAGAGAAGAAGACTTGACCCAAAAAACTGATCACTTCGGCAGAAGAACTTCCTTTTAAGGTTTGGTAATGTGTTTCCTTTTCCAGTGGGAGGAAGCGCCTATCTCTCATCTGCTGTCCTGGAAAGATGACTGGAGAAATTGCCTTTTATATTTACTTCCATATAATTGTGGGTGAATCTTTGGTGTGCCCCCACTTGAGCTGGCATCTCCTTTATGGTAGGCGATCCAGGCATGCCTGAAGCAATGACAACATTCTTTCTCAGTTATATATTTAACGTGTTCAGCAGAGGAAGGCTCGAGTACCACACCCCATCTGAAGTATACCAACACAAAGTCACTTGGCCAGAGGCACAGAACAGAGTTTTATTAGACACGTACACAGCCTTCAACTTTATGGTAAAAACAGTATCAACTTTATTAGACATAAAAGTATAGCTTAAAACTTTAAAACAACTTACGTAGCTGGTTTGTAAAAAGAGCAGTTCTTTTAGGGGTGAATCACACTTAAAGTTCATGTGAAAGATGATTCCAGAGGTGTTATAATAGCGGCTGTATTTCCCTCAATGCAGTTTGCTGATGACAGCTTCCTCAGGAGGATATAACTGCACTATAAACCAGTGTGAAGTCAGATGAAGGTGAGCAGAGCACCCTGACAGCGGCTCCCTCCCCAAGAGGGGCACAGGAAGAGCGACCACGGCAGAAGGGGCGTCACTATAGCACAGCACCCAAAGTTTAGACCACGATCCAATTACATGTCTCCCTGCGCTATTTAGGGATGAAGTGTGATTCATCCCTAAAAGAACTGCTCTGTATATAAATCAGCAACTTATGTTGTTTTAAAGTTGTAAGCTATACTTTTTATGTTGATTAAAGTTGATACTGTTTTTATCTTAAAGGCTGTGTATGTGCCTAAAAAAGCCCTGTTCTGTGCCCCTGGCCTAGTGACTTTGCACTGGTGAACATTCTTTCTCATTGCTCTGCAGTGGCTGAGACCATGTGAGCTTTGCCTCGGCATATGTCATGCACGAGGGCATGGAACACAGGAAAATAATGGAAATCGCATGTTATCTGCCATATAATTTAATAATGTATTAAACAAAAGTGAATAAAGCTTATTGAAGTTGTTGAAGATTTTTGTGCACTTTAACTAGAGTTGATAATACTGCCTCCTTTGTATCTGCATACTGGAGCTTTTTTCTTCATGCTACACCCCTTTTCATGGTAAACTGGTGTCTGTCCTGATTGCGGGAGTCTGCTTCAGTTGTCAACCATACTGTATTTTCCAGACATTTACAGTAGTTGTATATTTTATGTAATATGACATTGCACACATCATCTCTACTATGCTCTGGGCAGCTGCTAAAATGCTCACTCTGTATAATTTTCCCTTTTTACAAATATTTAGCTTGAACTGTCTTAAATATTTAGGATGGGGTCGGAACAGTGAGAATGCCGGGGGATGGCCAAACCAATCCTGTGACCGTTCATAATAAGGAACCACTGTGTTACTTTGATTTGGCGGTGTATCCTCCTACTCATATCACACACTCCTCCTCCAGCTCTTCTGACAGATCCTCCAACACGACTGACCTGGAGGTATGTGGCCTGCTGTCTGCATTTTAAAATTGGCTAATGTGCTATTTGCTGTCACAATGGTTATTTTAATCACGTAGAGAGAAAAAAGTACACCAGAGCAACAAGCAATATAATGCACGTTAAATCAAATGTTTAATGATTCTTTACTTTAACAATTCACTTTTTATTTCACTCTATATTTTAATGTGTTATACCTGCATATATCATTCACTTCACATTTCTCTCTCTTTCTGTCTGAAACAGTCATTATTTAATCTTATAGGATGGATTTGACAGAGTGAGCTGTTCTGCATGTTGTCTCTGAGGAGATATCTTGATAGATAAAAAAAACCTATTAACTGAATATAATAATTACACTGTGGCCATAGGGATCCATATTCAGTGCCATGTAATACCCACACTGGTAGACAGCAGACATAAATGATTACACTTCTAGTCGGCAGTCAGTGCAATTAGTTAATTCTATTGATGGTCGGCAGAGACTGTTAATTACATCAGTGATCAGCAGTAATAAATAATTACATTGATTAGTAGATATTGATAATTTAATTGGTGGTCAATAATGATTGTTCATTAAACTGGTAGTCAGCAGAAAGTAATAATTACATTAGTGACTATAAGGCAGTGGTGAAGCTATACATTCCATCACCTGGAGCAAAGACTGAGTTGCTCCCCCCCCCCCTTCCCGGGAGAAGTTATCCTTCCACACCCTGCCACCCCCACCCCACACTTCTGGTCTCTCTTCTTCTTTTGTCAGGGTGGTGCCCCTCTTGATCACAGAGGTGAGGCTTCAAATCGCCTCGTTCTCCAGTGTGGCTTTGTTAATTAAAGAGCCGCTTCTGGGCTTGCTTCTATTTTCTCAGCAGTGCCCCTTCTAATCTGTCATGGAGGAGAGACTTAAATGAAGTGATTTTAAGCCTCACCTCCATGGTGGAACAGGAGAGGCACCACCACACCAAAAAAGAGAGCAAATAAGCGGGTCTAAAGATACTGATCCGCCATGTAGGTGAGGCTTAAAATCGCTTCATTCAAGCCTCTCCTCTGTGGCTCAGCTGGGCCTTTCTGAATGCTGCAGAGCAGAAGGAAGGCTTGAAATAGCCTCATAAAATGCCTCTCTCTTCATGCGCGGAGACACCCCTCCTAGCTTCTGCCCTGCTGATCGCTATATATGGAACTATACACATGGTATAGATGACACTCAGAAAGAGTTTTCATAAGTGAGATCACATAGAGTTCAGTAGTAAAGAACGCAGCGCGTGGTAGTAAAGAATGCACAGTTTGGTAGTAAAGAACACAGAGCATGATAGTAAAGAACGCAGAGCATGGTAGTAAAGAACGCAATACTGTTCGAATTACAATACTGGGCACCAGGAACATTTATATAAAAGACAAAATAAATACAATTTTCAGCTTGACAATATTTATTTCTATTAAAAAAATATTTTTTTTCTCCTGTCATTCTATGTTTTATTTAAATACAATTTACTGTTAAATATTTAACTCACCACTTTGAGGCAGTCACAGGTCACTTGATGTGCTTTTCACCTGCTTAGTGTTGCTTGTGTCGTCTCCAGCTCCTGCTTGCCTCCCTCTGATTCAGGTGCCGTAGCTGGCTGTTCTGAGGGGTGGTCGCATGAGGGCAACGGGCTCTCTCCTTTTCGGTGTGTGCATTGGCTGCGGCCTGAATGGCAGGAAGTGGCGGAACGACAGGGTCCAGTCGATGCGACCCTGGTAGTTCCGCCCGTGCTAGAAATAGAGGCCTAATGCGGCGCCCAGGGCACATAAGTGGTATTCAGCAGAGGTTACTAATTACATTGATCAATAGTCAACAGGTATCAATAATTATATTGGTTTTTAGCAGAGAATAATAATAAGCTTGGTGGTCAGCAAAGATTATTAATTTTACTGGTGGTCAGCCGTTTAAAAACTACATTGGTGATTAGATGAGATTAATAATTACATAGGTGATTAGCAGAGATTTATAATTATATTGGTGGTCAGCAAAGGTTAATAATTACATTGGCATTCAACAAAGATTACTGATTACATTGGTAGTCAACAGAGATGAATCAGTGACATTAAAGGCAAAGAGTTCCCCTCCCCCAATGTTAATTAAAACACCTTAAATGATGTCTATTAATCCGATCTTCTTTCCTGTAGTTTTCAGCCTTCTCTCCAGCCTTGTCTCCGATCCAGCGCTGACTCCTCTGTCCTTGCTGGTACTTCCTGTCCCACGGTGTCTGCATGCGGGTGCATGCTGCCATAGACTTACCTTGTGTCTCTCCCCGTCTCCCGGCCGAAAATCCGAATTGCGCATGTGCCCGTCGCAAGATGCTTTGCGGCCGCCCGAGCATTTTTGGATTTTCGGACGGGAGCGCGCGGCGAAGACACAGGTAAGTTTAAACCGCTTTCGAAGTGTTTTTTTCAAAATTACTTTTAGCATATATCTACTGCTTGCTAGCAGTAGATATATGAAAAAAATCTGGAGGGTTTAGAAACCCTTTAATAATATTATTGGTGGTCAGAAGAGATTAATAATTGCATTGGTAGTTAGCCGAGATTCATCATTTCATTGGTGGTCAACAGAAATTAAAATGATATTGGTGGTCAGCAGAGATAATTAATTACATTTGTGGTCAGCAGAGATTAATAATTTAATTAGGGGTCAACAGAGATTGATAATTACTTTATGGATTGGTAATTATATTGGTGGCCAATTGTCAGTTGCACTTCTCTGCATAACATTCACAGGAACTTTACTGACCTTTTTAAAGGAAAATATCTTTGAGGTGAGTGATTTCCACTCATCCTCATAGTTAGAGCCGACCTGTGACAAAGAAGCTGTCACAGGTCGGCTCCATCGATCGGTAAGTGAGCAGAAACATGCCACCGATCCGCTCACTTCCTGATCGTCTCCCTGCAGTGAGCAGTGACTGTTAGTCACTGCTCCCCGCGGGGATTCCTCCCTCTGATCCCCCAGCGCTGACTGGGGAGAGGGCGGGTACAGCTGGCTCTCCCTCTAGATAGGCAGAGCCAGCTGTCACTCAGGCAGCTAGGTGGATCGCTACAGTAATGTCAGGATCCGTCCCGGCTGCGGCGGTCTCAGTATACCGTGATCTATAGCTCGCTATATACTGAGCTATGGGTCATGGGAGGACGCTAGTATAATCTCAATACACATTAATAGACTAAACGTGACATTGTAGTCCATCACAGGAGTGATCTTGGAGCGGTGGCTACTTTACAGCACACACAGGGACACTGGTAGATATTTGTTAACAACAAGTTAAGATCCTACTACTAACCAGTTAGAAAATCTCCTGTGTGTTCCTTACTTTTCCAATTAAACCTGAACTCCAGACATACACATGAACTCCAGCAAAATACACATTTGAAATAAATATATGATAACTATCTTTAACTGAAACCTGGGCAACATAAACTTAACATATGATGAAAAAGGCATAAGCAGAGGTCACCTTCTGTGAACTATGAAACTGTAATATATAGGCAATTCTCAGTGTTTCTGTATTCAGTGTGCCGCCCCAATAGGGGCATAGAATATGTTGTAGAAGTTAGTATAGATAGAAGTTTTACATAGTGTGATTTGCCTAACTATTTTCTCATAGCTAAATCCATGTGTTATCCTATGCTGCCATCTAGTGGCCTTTTGTTGTAACAAACATGCTTTCTGTAATTATTCCTCATGTGACTAAGTATTTCCCCCTAGTGTACGCCCCTTCCTTCTTCCTGTGTGCAGTACTTCCTGTGTCATGGCCACAGTTAGAAGCCACATGTAACAAGGACACACATGTTATCTGCACAGTACGTAGGAAAGGCATCATTTTCTGACCGCACAATACTATAACCGTTCAACTGCTGTTCCTATCATCTGCTGTAACCTGATGTTAAAGAATAAACACCTCTTTTGAATGAATCGGTATTGATGAGTTCAGCTATCTGACGAGGATTGTCCGCAGTGAGTATATCTGCTTATACAGGCCAGGCATAGAGGTCTCAGCAAGGGATATATTTCGCTATCACAACGATCGGAGTCAGAATATTCAGTTTTACTATGGATTTGCCCGGGTTTGTGAAAGTTTCACTTTAAATACAGAATAAATGTAATCCTATTCAGTCTTGTGATACAGGCAGCACTGTCTGTCAGCCTAGCCCAATTGTGACCTCACTTTTATCCACTAAAGTTGAGCAATATAGCTTGGTCAGGGTCAGTGTGCATTTGCTGGCAATTATACAGCCATTAATTAGTCATACCAACCCTGACTATGAAGTGAGTTTACTGATTGACAATGAGAGGCTTCATTCTGGGAGAGGAGGTGGCCTTGAAAGGAAAGTAGTAGAAGTGGGCATTTCTGCAGATGGAGGTACAAAGAAGTGAAACGGGACCTGTCTGGTGGCCCATGGGAAACGATTTGGACACCTGAGAGTACAGATAATTAATTTTAAAAAAACACTAATTCACTATGGTGAAGTTGTCCTATAAATATACCCCCTAACACCGCTCATAGTAGCCCACACTCTAAAATACTGACATTTATTCCCCCCCTTCCCTCCCTACCATGCTGTAAAGCTCTTGCAAGAAAAACATCCTAGGTAGATGGGCGTTGTGCACTTGGCCACCATAACCCCATTTATTTTTATGGAAGGTCTGTATTATTCCAAGAAAGTACGGACCATCCATAGGAATCAATGGGGTCACTTTGCACATGTGCAATAGGCACATTAGATCCAGCTGGGATGTTTTTATTGCAAAATCTGTGCAACACCAGGACAGGACTGCTCAGTGAGAAACTCAGGAGCTGGGATCAAGGTGAGTATTCCCTTTTAGTTCGCTATTCTAAAAGTGAATTTGTTCTTTAAAGTCTTCATAGCACCAAAGCAGGTGTTATGCCAGCATTCCTCTTTCCAAGATAACCTTTCCTTCAGTCCTGTAGATTTGCATGAATTTACTTTAGATAGCCAAAGGTTATACGATATGC